CTGCTTAATATTCTTCCTTTAACAGTCAATTTTCAGAATAAGGGGGTGATGCCCTCAGTATTTCTAATGGTGGATAATACAGTGTTTTTTTTTCTTTTAATTGAAGTACCATCAGTTACAATGTGTCAGTTTCTGGTATACAGCATCATGTCCCAGTCATGCATGTGTGTGTATATATTATATATATACACACACATGCATATTCATTTTCATATTCTTTTTCATTAAAGGTTATTACAAGATATTGAATATAGTTCCCTGTGCTATACAGAAGAAATTTGTTTTTTATCTATTTTTTATATATAGTGGTTAACAATTTCAAATCTCAAACTTCCAAATTTATCCCTTCCCACCCCCGTCCCCCAGTAACCATAAGATTGTTTACTATGTCTGAGAGTCTGTTTCTATTTTGTAAATGAATTCATTAGTGTCTTCTTTTTTCTTTCTATTTTTTAGATTCCACATATGAGTGCTATCATATGGTATTTTTCTTTCTCTTTCTGGCATCTTCAATGCCGTGTTTTGGTTTGTTTTTGTTTTCTCTCTGTCTTTTATGAATTATTATGAATCCCTGGAATTTTTATATATTCAATGTGCTTCAAACACTTGCAATTATTATCATTAATTTTTTATTGAACTATAGTTGATTAATACTATTGTGTTAGCTTCAGGTGTACAGCAAAGTAATTCAGTTATATATGTGTGTATATATGTTCTTATTTTTAGATTCTTTTCCATTATAGGTTATTACAAGATATTAAACATAGTTCCCTGTGCTATATGGTAAACCCTTGTTGTGTATCTATTTTATATCTAGTGGTGTGTCTGTTGATCCTGAACTCCTAATTTATCCCTCCTCCCCCTGCAATTATTTTTTAATGTAAACTTTTTTTTTGAAGAGAACACACACAAAAATGGAGAAATTCAGATTAGTGAATTTTCAGATTAAATGAAATCCATGTGCTGGTACCCCTTTCGAGAATCAGAGAATATTACCAATATCCAAGAAGTACCTCTCACAGCCCCTCCAGCCATGACCTTACCCCCAAGGGTAACCACTCTCCTGACTTCTAATACTATGTATTAATTTGCCTGTTTTGAGCTTTGTATACATAGAATTATACTACGTGTTCTGTTTTGTTTCTGGCATCTTTCATCCAACATTGCGTTTGTGAGATCCACCCACTTCATTAATTATTTTCATTGCCTTAGAGTGTTCCCTTGGTGAATACACCACAGTTTATTCATTTTCTTCTATTGTTGATGTATATTTGGGTTGTTGCAGTCTGGGGTTATTATAAGAGGTGGGGCTGTGAACACTTTTGTACATGTCTTCTCATGAACATATGAGCACATTTCTATTGGGTTTATGCCTAAGAGTAGAATTGCTGGGGTATGAGTCACATGTATACTCAGCTTTTGTTGACACCGCCAAAGGGTTTCTAAAGGGATCAAACGGCAGACATCAGTACAGGTCATCCCTAAACATTTCAGCATACCTATCAACTAGAGTTCAATATTTGCTTATTGGTTTTTTTTTTTTGAGGTAAAATTTACACACAGTGAAAAGCACAAATTTTAAGTGGACCATTTGATGTACTTTTGACAAATGCACACGTTTGTAATCCAAACACCTGTAGAGATATAGGATACTTCCATCACCCCAGAAAGCTCCCTCCTGCCCCCTCCCAGTTAATCCTCACCCCCGACTCCCCTAGGCAGTATATTTTTTACTATAGATTAGTTTTGCTGGTTCCAGAACACCACATAGATGGAATTCCGCAGTACTCTTCTACGTAAGCCTTCTTGCACTCAGCACAGTGACTGTTGTGAGTCACCCCTCCTGCTGTGTGTGTTAGCTGTTTGTTCCTTTTCACTCAGTCCACGGTCTGAATACACCACTGCCAGCTTATCTGTTCCCCAGTTGATGGACTTTTGGGTTGTTTCCAGTTTGGGATTGTTACAAATAAAGCTGCTATAAAAATTCCTTTTTTTTTCAGCTATTTTTGAGGACATATGTTTTCTCTTGGGTCACTTGGTGGGGGTCACATAGACAGAATATATGCAGCCCCTCTCCTGGGACCCATAGTCTATTTGAACTTTGGTCCATGACACAGTGTTGAGCATGTGCTCTGTGGCAGGTGTAGAAAGTGCACAGTGGGAGGTGGGAGAAGGTGACAGAGCTCTGGGAGATAACCAAGGAAGGCCTCCTGGAGGAAGGGGCCTTGGTGCCAACACAACTTGGTTTAGTAGGAGGATCAGGAGCTGAGGTCAGACACGCCTTCATGCCAGCCCTATTCCCATGGGAAAAAATATCCTTGGGAATCTCGCTTTTTTCATCTGTAAAATGGGGATAACCACACCTCAGGATTTGATGGAATAGTGGTGCCTCTTTTGTTAAATATTCTTTTTTTCTCCTCAGGCCTGGCTCCTGTGGCCGCCTTCAACGTGGATGTGGTCCGGACCTGGGTGACTCCCGAGGGAGGCGCCCCCTACGTGCTCAGCTCCCTTCTGCACCAAGACTCCAGCACCAACCAGACCTGGTGAGTGGGGTCTGGTGGACGAGAAGGAGTGGGGTGTGAGGACTAAGGGGTCCTGTTGAGCCTGAGACGGTCCCTGACAAGGCCTTGGCACCCCACCCCACAGCCTGGGGAGAACCTCCTGTCACTTTCAGGAGGGCGTGCAGGAGAGAGGCTGTGAGCTCAGGGCCAGTCCTCCCAGCCAGAGCCCCTCTCCTCACCCTGGGCCCCCTTCACTACCAGGGATGAGGGGGTGGGGGGACTAAAAAAACTCTTTGAAATTAAAGTTTATTAAATTCCCAGGGGGAGGGTATAGCTCAGTGGTAGAGCGCAGGCACCTGGCATACATGAGGTCCTGGGTTCAATCCCCAGTGCCTCCATTAAAATACATAAACCTAAGTACCTCGCCCAAAACAAACAACAAAAAAATTTTTTAAATTTCCCAGGGATCAAAGAGAAGTTATCATTTACTCTAAAGGCTACAAAATAAACTCATCAAACAATTTAAAAAAGTTTATTAAGGCTCTTTTGCCCCTTACAAAAGTAACACATGCTCTATATAGATGTTTGGACAAGTGACAAAAAGTATTTTTTTTAAATGGAAAATATGAGGCAGGCCAGAGCGGTTACGAGGCACGCTGTGGGTCTGGTCACTGTGGTTCAGAGACAGCTTTGCTCTATACTTACAGCAGCCTCAGTTTCTCATCTCTGCAGTGGGGTGATATTTTCTGACCTCACCAGGTTGTTGCAAGGATGCTTTGAGTTAAGACACCTGAAGGATTTGGCACAATTTCTGGCCAAGTTTAAGATCAATACACATTACCTTATATTTTAAAAATATCATCTGTACCCACCCATTAGATCAGCAAAACAGTTTAAATCTGACACCATTCTGCTGGTAAGGATGTGGTGAAACAGGAGTTTGTGGGCATGTGAGTTGGTAGAATCACCTTGGAGCACCATTTTGCCACTACGGGCAGAGCTGAGGATGCACGTGGCCTTTGACTCATCGATTCCACTCCCAGATACCAGCCCTAGGGACATTCTCAGGCACACGTAAAGATACTGATGGTGACATTGTTTTGAGCCATGAGAGGCGGGAAATCTGCATCCTCGGAAACTGGAAGGAATAGGTGGGATTCATCCGACGTGATGCTAAAAGCAGGTTCGTTGAACGAAATGAGTGCAATGGTTATGAACTGGATCAATCTAAGATGAAAAAGGCAAGTTGTAGAATAATATATACCACGGCCATTCACGCCACAAATGTTTATATGGAGCACCTACTGTATGCCAGGCCCTGAGGATACAGCGGGGAGCAAAGCAGACACAAATCCTTAAACTCAGGGGAGACAGACAATAAGCGAGGAAATCCACAGTGAACTCTGTCAGACAGTGAGAGTGGTGCTGGTGCAGAGGCACGTCTTTGGTTTTAGGAGAAGTTCTGCCGTGAAGGGTCACGATACACATGCCAATGTCCCCCTGTTGTCACCAAAACGACTTTTAGAGCTGCTTTGTTTTGAAGCCAGGGTCCGGTCAAGGTTCATGCGTTGTATATCTTTACTGTCTCTTTGGTCACCGTTAATCTAGGGCGGTCCCTCCCCTCCCCCCTCTGGTTCGTGCGGGTCATAGGCCTCTTTCTGTGCGTGCAGCTGCCCCAGGCTGGTTCCCTCCCCACCCCTCCCCACCCCCGCTGCCTTGCTTCTGGCCAATGATCCAGGGTTTCCTTCAAACCCAACACACCTGAGCCGTGAGCTCGGGGGTCCGGAGGGCTTTGGGGCAGAGCCAGGTGAGGTGCTTGGGGCTCCTGGCTGAGCAGAGCTCAGTTTAGTGGGAGATGGGTGGACGGTGGCAGCTCCTGGGGCAGCCTCACAGCCCTGGACCTGGGCTTGGACCCCATGCTTGGTTTCCTCATTGTACAGTGAAGAAGCTGGTGACCATTAGATTTAAGTGGTGAGGGCAGGGCCCATTCACTCATTCATTCATTTAAGGAGCACCTACTCAGTGCCAGGCAAAGCTGCGGGGAGGAGACAAGTGAAGGAGACACAGTCCCTGCCCTCATGGAGCTCCAGGCTCATGCGGGAAACAGGCAAGTCAGGCGATGACAAGAGGAGTGATGGCTGCTCTGTGGGGATGTCCAGGGAGCTTTGGGGACGCAGTGGCACGTGTGTCCTTCCTCCAGAGACTATGCATCGACACAGGGAGTTGGGGGCCAAGTAGGAATTGGTGTGAGAAGGCATGAGAAGGGGAGTCGGGGCTGAGAACAGCTTGGGTGAAGTCTGGAAGGCCTGAGTGAGGTTGGGGAGCTGGGGAAGTGTCGAGGCTGAGGCTGAGAGCCATGAGAAATTGGATGGAGGACGTGGGTGGTGCCTTGTCCCCTGGCACAGAGGGTCTGGGCAGCCAGAAGGCTTGAAGCAGGGAGGGTAGTGAGAAGGTCCTTAGGATGTATCTGGCTACAGGAAAATGAATTAAGATGAATTCTGGTTGCCACACAGAAAACTGCCCACATCGTCCACGTGCCGCTCAGGAAATGTTCACGAAGTGAGCCACCCACGGATGTGGCATCCAGATCAAGAGGCAGAACAGGGCCGGCCTATCATAAGCCCCCTGCAGCTGTGTGCTCCCCCCCAGGCACAGCCCGGGTGGGGAGAGTTACGCGCTGTCCCCGCTGTCCATCTCCACGGACCGGCTCTGCCTGTTCTTGGGACGTGTCATAAACGAGGCATGCAGTAGGTGCTCTGTTATGTCAGACTCCTCTCCCTCAGCATGCAGTCTAGGAGTCTGACCTGGCATTGCCTGAGGCGGTGGTGCTCATGGAGGTTGCTAGAGTTTTCCTTTGTGTGAACGGTGCTAATGAGGAGTGTTCTGGTAGTTTCCTTGGGTCAGAAGGAACAGCACAGCTCCGCACTTTCTTTTGCTGGGTGAGGGCACTTCTTTTTTTTTTTATCAGGCACGTACCCAGCAGTGGAACTGCTGGATCATGGCTTCTGGGTTAGGTCAGCATTCAGTTTTGCAAACTTTGCAGTGTGTGAGCGTTCTGCTTGCTCCCCCGACTTGTCAAGGCCAGATTTCAGCCCGAGTTATTGGTGACCGTCTCCTGCCCAGGCTCCTCCCACCAGTACCCCAGCAGGGCCCTCACCACACGAGCTTCAGGCCCAACAGTCCTTAACGTCCCCTGCCTCAGAAGCCAAACTGAAAGATCACAGTGGATGGGGGACTTTGAAGCCCTGGGAGCAGAAGGCTCTCAGCCCACCCAGTGGTGGCAGGGAGAGCCCAGCTGCGTGCAAGAAAACCTCCCTGAACACCTGCTGAAGCAGAGTGGGGGGCTCGTGGGTTTGAACATGCAGGGAAGGAGGATGTGGTGGGAGGCAGTTCTGGGTTCCTGATGCAGACACTGGAGCCTGAGACCACAGGCTGCTGCACAGGGCAGGAAACGCACTGCTGGCCGCCCCGGGGCCACAGAGGAACCAGTTGGGCTCCCCTTGTGAGGATGACATGTCCCTCTCACTCCCTCACGTTGTTCCTCCTTAAGATGTAACAGCCTCGGCTGGCTGCATTGGGAGCTGCAGCAGGATGGAGTGGAATATAAAGGCCTTCCCCCTGGGCGGGATGGGAATAGACTCTGAGGACAAAGATGGGTTATGGATGAAGGTAGGCAGGAAACGCGCTGCACCCAGCCCAGGTGTAATAGGGTCCCTGGGGCTGCCAGCTGATGGTTGTTCAGTTATTGTTGAATTTGTTAGTCACTCAGTTGATAAATCTGGAGCTCAAGAGACCACCCACCACGGTGGGGGTGTAATAGGGTCCCTGGGGCTGCCAGCTGATGGTTGTTCAGTTATTGTTGAATTTGTTAGTCACTCAGTTGATAAATCTGGAGCTCAAGAGACCACCCACCAGACTGGGCCCCAGGCCACAGCATAGCATGACCAATATGTATGGCAATCTTGGGTTCTGAAGTGCACAGCCTGTGCAACTGTACATGGTTGTCTCTCAGGAACTCACAATCTACGTGGGAACAAAAGCTAAGAATAAAGGAAGAGTGAGGGCTTCCTGGAGGGCTTGGAGAGGGTCAAGGTGGTCCTACTTTGGGGGTGACTTCCTGAGGAGCTGGCATTTGGGATAACTGTTCTGCAGGAAAGAAGGTAAAAGGCATTGCAGGCAGAAGAAACAGCTTGGGCCCAGGGCCTGAAGGGGGAAGGAGAGCGGAGGCTATTCCAGGCCTGCACCTACCCTAGCAAAACACGGTCTGGGCAGGAGCAAAGTTCTGAGCCCACCTTTGTGGGGGAGGAGAGATTAAGGTGCTGGGCCCAGGGCTGAGGCCCAGGGCTGAGGCTCAGGCTGGGGAGGGGTCTGGGGAAAGAGGCAGGTTGCTGAGCAGGCGACCTAATTTGGGAGCTCAGCTGCAAGCCCACAGATCTCAGCTGCATCAGCCCTCCTCCCCTCAGCCCTGCCCCAGATCGGCCCCCTCACCTGCTACCTGGGCTGCCATTCAACAGTCATTCAACAAATATTTACCGAGCCCCTGCTCTGTGCCAGCCACTGTTCGAGATGTTAGAAATAACATGGCGAACAACACAGACAAGATTCCCTGGGGAACTTACAGTCTGGGGGCGGGGTGGGGGGAGATAGGTAATAAACACACAAACAAGTCAACAGGATGCTCTCAAATGGGGACAAATTCTGAGAAGGAAATAAACAGGGTGATACAAAGCAGAGTAAATGGGTTGTGAAGTGGGGCCGGCTGGAGAAGCATCTGTGAGGAGATGACAGTTAAGCGAGGCCAAGGGATGAGAATGAGCCAGGCTTGGGGAGAGTAGGGGGCACAGCAAGGCAGAGGGCCCAAGCTGGGGGCAGTCCCAGAAGAGGAGCCAGCCAGCGTGGAGCCAGAGCTGGGAGAGCAGAGGAGCAGGAGGGGCGTCTCAGAGGCGGGGTGGTGCTAGATGGCTCGAGGCCCCTGCGGGCTGCGGCGGACTCTTTTCTTAAGTGCGTGGGAGGCTGCTGCCGCGGGAGTGACATGGCGTAACTTTTGAGAGTAAATTTTAACCCCTCCCCCAAAACCCAACCCCAATTAAGAGGCTGTTGCTATAGACCAGGCAAGATGATGCTGGCAGGGGAAACAGAGAGAAGAGATGCTCTCTAGGTGTAATTTGGAGGAAGAACCGACGGGGTTTACTGATGAATTTGATGTAGGCCATGGGTGAAAAGATAACGCGAGGGTGTCCGCGAGCTTCAGACTCCAGAATGCAGTGGTTGGTGGTGCTGCGTTGGGGCCGGGGAGGTGGAAAGGTCCAGCACAGGAGGACAGGGCCGTTGTTCTGTTTGGACTTTCTAAGTTTGAAACGCCTATTAGACAAAGGGCAGTTGTTATTTATCCATTTCCTAAGGCTGCTGTAACAATTCACCCCAAACTTAGTGGCTTAAAACAGCTCAATTGTATTACCTGGCAGTTCAGGAGAAGTCCGAAATGGGTCTTATTGGGCTGAAATCAAGGCGTTAGCAGGGCTGTGTTCCTCCTGGAGGCTTGAGGGGAGAATCGTTTCCTCACCTCTTTTGGCTTCTGGGGAGGCTGCCTGCCTTCCTTGGCTTGTGGCCTCTTGCTCCATCTTCAGATCTCTGACTCTGACCCTCCTGCCTCCCTTCCATAAGGACCCTTGTGATTACATTGGGCCCACCCAAATAATCTGCCCCATCACATGATCCTTAACTTAATCAAACCTACAAAGCACCTTTTGCCCTAAAAAGTAGCTTCTTCACAGTCCTGGGCATTAGGGCCTGGACCTCTCTGGGGTGGTGGGTCATTATTCTGCTTTCTACAGCTATGCTGGTCTGGCTTCTGTGGGAGGGACGCTGGCGCTGCAGATACAAAGGTGGGAATTTCAGCACTGACAGGTATATTGAAGCCAGGGGATTGGAAGGGATCACTAGAGCATGCTGGAGAGGAAAACAAGGAGCCAGCCCCGGGACACCAGTGACATTTAGAAGTCAGACAATGAAGGAGCAAGCTAAGGCATTTGGGAAAGAATAATGAGAGGGGTCAAGGGAAATCAAAACGCAAGGGTTTCAGGGAGGAGATGTTTGCTTATGTCCAAGGCTGCTGAGAGGTTGAGGAAGATCAGGACAGAAAGGTGTCCCTTGGATTTGGCAAGGTGGGGACCACAGCTGACCTTGACAGGAGCCCTATCAGAGGGCGGGAGTCAGCTTGGGGTGGGTGGACTGGCTAGGGCACACCCAGGTGTGGATTTTATTATTCTTCTGTAAACCGTGGAGATAAGTGAATGACATATATCGTCATTTTTTTAAGTGTCCAGTGATGGGAGATGAGGAAGTGGAAACAGCACCTCGTTCCTGCCCCCCGTCCACTGTAGCTCACTTTGAACTTTTCATCATGTTTCCCCTTTATAAACACGGACTAATCATGCACTTCCCCTTTACAAAGTCCTCTGTGGCTTCCTACTGCCTTCAGCATAAAGACCTTGAACTTGGCTCACTGTTACCAAGCCCGTCTCAGGGCGCCTTCCCCAGTACCCACTACTCACAACCCCTGGGATGGGGAGCTCTCTCCCTGTCTCGGGGCAGCCCAAACCTCCCTGGGCAGCAGGGACAGTGAGGATGTTTCGGCCAACACTGGCTCTCTGCTGTCCTCCTGGGCTCAGGGCAGGGGGCAGAGTCTGTAATGTAATCTGCATTAGCAATTACATCTCTGGAGACTGCCTTAATCAGGCTGAGGTGCCCACCCACTGAAACCTCCAGTTTTGACCGACCCATAGGCTAAGGGCACCAGTGTACTCTTCTCGGGAAGCACTGTCACTGAGGCCAGATGGCGCAGGCCCCCGGCCACCACTAGGAAGCCAGCACTGCCCCCAACAGAACCAAATATGCTGCTGGTGGCTTCCTGGTTCCCCGCCACTGCCACCAAAGAGCAGAGAGTCTTTCTGTACCACCGGTATCGCCCCCATCTCTGTCAGGGTGGGCCAGCAGGCAGAGAGGGGAGGCAGTTAGCCATTTCCTGCCTGGAGCTGTGCAAAGGTAGAGGTTGAGCAAACGCCTCCCATGTGATGCAGGGTCCGCCGTCCCAGGCTGGAAGTCTGCCTGCCTTTCCAGGTCTGGGCTTCTCTATAGATTTCCAAACAGAGAGCCTGTGGGTCTGTGGGCCTGGAATGGACAGACTGGGCCTGGGCAGGCAGGGAGGAGAAGGGAATCATTGACCAGATCAACTTTGCTGCCTACCCATCCGCTCAGGCTTCTGGTCACCAGCCCCAGTACCAGCGGGACTGCAGAGCCCCTGCATCAATGTTCCCTCGTCCACGATGAGCTCCGTTGCCACCCAGTTGGTAAGTCAGCCCTCACTCCAGGGAATGCTCGAGGACCTCCTTTCTAGGAATCCCACTCATCCAGCCCAACCATTCCAGCCCCAGCCCCATCTAACCCAGTCCCTCTACCCCGGGCCCCACCACCACCGACAGCAAGCCTTCCACCCTGATGCCCAGTCCCATCCCTTCCCAACCCTCGTCGCCAACCCACCATTCTGGACCCAGTCCTAACAGCAAAAATGATACCTGAAACGTGTCGAATACTCCATTCTGCTAAGTGCTTCGTATACCTTTAACCCTCAAAACCATGCCATTTTACAGAAGAGGAAGCCTTTGGTTTCCAGAGACGTCCTTTGGTTTCCAGCATGACTACGGTCACGCATCTGGGCAGCACCAGAAATGCAAACCCAGCTCCACCTGATTCCAAAACCCAACCTATCCCAGCTCATCACACCTCAATGGAATCCACCCCTTCCCCTCCCGATCTAACTGTGGCCACCCTAGCATCTAGCAGGGGCCTGCCCTAGATCAGGCACTCAGTCACACTGATCAGCAGATGAATGGACCTGGTTCACTCATTGAGCAAACTGTCCCCACCCCACCCAGTCCTACTGAAGGCCCATCTGTGCTGACGGCTGTGTAAGGAGGAATCCTGGGCTCTGTGAGACCTCAATCTCTGCCTCAGAAGGGGACATGGTCCAGTAGGGTGACTGAGTGATCCTGTGACTCAGAAATGAGTCCCCTGAGAGCGGGGAGCAGGAGGAGCTACATCTCTGCCCCCGGGGGTGTGGGGCAGTAAGAGTCCCTGGAGACAGGACTCTGAGAGAGAAGGGCTCATCGGTTTGTAGAGCCAGTCCTCCCAGCGCTGCACACACCGCCGGCTGGCGCTTCTCCACCTGCCTGCCCCACCAGACCAGGGGCCCCTGGAGGACAAGGAGCAGGTGTGTTTCTCTGGATCCCTGTCACTGTGGCACAGAGCAGACATCATGGGGCCTATGTTGAATGAGGCACTGGATGAGCCTGGGGGAGAGGCCTGTCCCTGAAGGCCCCCCTATCCAGCTTCTAGAGGCTGCCCAGAGGGGCTACTGGTTCCTCATGGGGCCCTGACCAAGATGGCCCTGTGCCCTCTGACCTTGGCTCCTAGGCTGCTTCCCAGCATCCCTCCTCCTTACCTGGGCTTACCTGTTTCAGAGCATGTCTCCATCCCAAAAAGGAGGTACCGGGGCGTGATAGCTGTCCGGAACCAGCATGGTGTTTTGGTGAGTGTGCGTGGCATGGGAGGATGGAGGGCTTCAGGGAGGCTGGTGCTAACCCCTGTGGTCGACCGTTGTGGGTACCAGTCCTGACTGGCATGTTATTCTCGGGGCTGAGCCCAGCTGTCTCCCTGGTGCCAACCCCAGGGCTGATGGTGGCTCTGACGCAGGTCCTCATGTGACCCAGCACACTGGTCCCAGCACTGACTCCTACCCCTGCTGAGGAGTGAGCAAGCTGTTCCTGTGTCCCCTG